TCGGATGGTCATTACAGCGATAAAGATTGATAGAATAAAAACACAAGATGTAATTCCGGAATTAGACGGAATTCCCGGGAATTCCTAGCAATTCCCACCGATTCTGGATCCGCTCAAATCCGGAATTCCGGCCCGGAATCGGATGGTCATGACATCGATAAAGATTGAAAGAATAAAAACACAAGTTGTAATTCCGGAATTGGATGGGATTGGGCGGAATCCCTACCAATTCGCACCGACTCCAGGTCCGCTCAAATCCGGAATTCCTAAGTGGAATCGGATGGTCATTACAGCGATAAAGATCGATAGAATAAAAACACAAGTTGTAGTTCCGGAATTGGATGGAATTGGACGGATTTCCCACCAATTCCCACCGATTCCGGGTCCGCTCAAATTCGGAATTCCTAAGCGGAATCGGATGGTCATTACATCGAGAAAGATTGATAGAATAAAAACACAAGTTGTAGTTCCGGAATTGGATGGAATTGGACGGAATTCCTAGCAATTCCCACCGATTCCAGGTCTGCTCAAATCCGAAATTCCTAAGCGGAATCGGATGGTCGTTACATCGATAAGGATTGATAGAATAAAAACACGAGTTGTAATTCCGGGATTAGACGGAATACCCCGGAATCCCTAGCAATTCGCATCGATTCCGGATTCACTCAAATCCGGAATTCCTAAGCGGAATCGGATGGTCGTTAAATCGTTAAAGATGGGTAGAATAAAAGCACAAGCTGTAATTCCGGAATTGGATGGAATTGGACGGAATTCCGTGCAATTTCCACCGATTCTGGATCCGCTCAAATCCGGAATTCATAAGCGGAATCAGATGGTCATTACATCGATAAGGATTGATAGAATGAAAACACAAGTTGTAATTCCGGAGTTCGACGGAATTTTCGGGAATTGCGAGCAATTCCCACGGATTCCGGATCCGCTCAAATCCGGAATTCCTAAGCGGAATCGGATGGTTATTACAGCAATAAAGATTGATCGAATAAAAACACAAGTTGTAATTCCGGAATTGGATGGGATTCCTATCAATTCCCACCGATTCCGCTGTTGTTTAATTGGGGAATTCCGGAATTAAACGGAATTCCTAGGAATTGTTGCGGACCCAGTTTCTATTCGATTCCGGAATCGCTGGAAACGATTCTGGGGTCGGAAGTGGTTCGGCAATGTTCAACTTTGCGGAATAGAATGGCTGCTGTTTTCTACCGTTCGGATGTGGTCATCGTCAATTTCTTGGACAAGATTTGGCTCGATTCGAACTCAAAGTAATCCTAGCTCGCATATTGCAACAAGTGACATTCGGTGATGGTGATTCGGAAGTTAATGCAGGTGGATATATTCAAGGATTGACTATTATGCCTAAACATGTCGGTGTTACCATCGAATTCCATTGATACATTAACATCGATATTCTCCTCTATCATTTTCACTTCTGAATTGTCCGAAAAAATAGAGATATTGTGTAATGTATTGATAAAGAATAGTGTATTGATAGCAAATGCTACTATTTGAAATAGTTTCAAATTGGATGATGAATGAAATGGAAAAATTGATGAAATCCAGGATTTGGGCAAATAGTGTAGATATTTTTGGTGTCAATCAAAAGACTTAGGCTGCGATTTTTTTTTAAATTTCATTGTAAAACTTATAGTCACTCTTAAATTATCACCACGATGTGAACCAGTATATGGAGAAAAATCTTATGTCAGATTGTATAGAATGAACTTCTTTCTATCAATTTTTATCGGATACGAATAGAATCTATCAACCTTTCAGTATAAAATATGAAGGAACCAAAGATGTCATAATATCCAAAGGCTGGGTATCGAGAAGATACTAGTCACGATATCCGTCAGGGAGAATATGCAAAATGGATACCCTATCTTTTAAAGTTGAAGATTTTGAGTGAATTTGGTGTTACGAGATGGTTACCCAGGGTGTGGGTGTGGGTGAAGATTCATATTCATGCCAATACCCACACTCTACACCCTGGGTATCCATCTCGTTACACCAAATTCACTCAAAATCCTCACTTTTTAAGGATATGTCGATGTTTTAGAATCTCGGTATCCGAGTTTCGTATATTATGACATCACTTCTACTTCCAGAAACACACCTACATCGAACGATCTCAAAATTAGCATGATCGATAATCAATCACATACGAGTTTTTAGTGAGAAGCCGATTGATCATTTGAAAACATCACTTCATTAATCACTATATTGCTTTTAATTATTTAAGTTAAAATAGATAGAGAACGAAAATATACATGACAATGTAACAGAATAGAATACATAAAGATTTTTAAAATTTACAGCCAGTAAGAAAGGTAGACTAACATAACTTGAATCTCTCGTGAATAAATATAAAAAACGTAATCAAACGAAAATCAACATATGTTCTTGAAAATTCAAATTTTGTTCTAATCTTTCATTTCTTCAATTTTACCTTTTATGTAGCTCGTGAACGAAAGAGATAGATGTATGTATGATGAAATATCCAGATCAAGTAATAAGAGCTAGCTCTAGTTTGAAAACACAGAAAATCACAGGAATTTGAAAGTTAGAATTTAGAGATTGAATCCGATTTTTAGAATTCCTACTTTCAAATTCCTCTCACTCTGTCAAGTTTTTAGACAGGTTTCTGTCGCCTAAATCATTGATCTTAGTATAGGAGAAATACAAAAATGTTTGTTTTCGTAACGGAAAACGTCCATTACAAGTCATTGAAATATTTGATATTATATATACATTGAATAACATTATATTAATAACAATCTCGTAAATTATTGAGTTGATTGTAAATCATATTCACTAGCGGAAAATTGTGTCAGTGTTCCAACTTGATTTTGACGTGGTCTTTTTTTACGATATACTCTCCAACATTTGTTGATAAAAACATGTTTAACCTGTCGTCGAAATCGTGTTGATGATATTAAAAATAAATAGAAAGAACCCTGAAATAATTGAGATAAATGAAATAAAATCAATCTGAAAATTTAACATACTGCATAGTTAAGATAAGAAAGTGAAAGAGTAATAGTTCCTATAAGTTGTACAATCGCTTGAGAAATCACATTGCTATCGTTTGTTAACGTACTAAGTGCATAAATCCGTTGTAAAAGATATGGTATTGTCGTAACGGCAAAAAATCCAACTCGTACCAGAATCATCGCTGTCAATTGTTGATCAAGTTTTCGTCGACGTATTGTCATTTGACGTCGTACGATATGCCGAACATTTCGATAAGCTAATACACTGAAAAATGTCGAAACAGTAATTGGTAAAGCTCCAGTAAGTATTACATAGTAACCATATGTGATATAATTTAAAAAATTCTGATTATATGTATTACATCCATATTTTGAATGGATTTCAAACATGAACAAAACTGATGTACCATGTAAGATCCAAAATATAGTTGCAATAGTAATAAGAATTTCAGCTAATTTTATTGTACTTTTTTTGTTTTAAAAATGGATAATAACTTGTTGATAAATATTGATCAATAGCAGAAAAACAAATAATACTAAGTGAAACAAGAGTTATAGATTGTAATATTAATGGTCTTAATTTACACCAAAGTAATGATGTCTTTGTTAGATCATTATTAAATCCAGTCATTGCAATACGAGATGTAAATGGAATCATCAGTTCAAGTAAATCAGCAATCGATTCTGCGATAAGATAAAAAGTAGATGGATTACCATGGAAAATTGTAAGATGAGTAAATACGAAGATATTGGCAATATGTCCGAAAACACCAGAAAATAAAATAATAAAACTAACGTAGATTGTTAATTGTTCAGAAGCATTAAGAATTAATTGTGCTGTTAATAATGATGACATGATTTATCCAATGTTGAATTTCTTTTTACGAGTAATGAATAATATCTCTTTTGCTTTTTTTTTCAGTAATAAGGATTTCTTATTCGCTAATGATAACAATATATATATATGTATAGTAGGGGTGGACCATTTAATTTAACGGGACTTAATTAATGACATTAATTAATGTATTTCATTAACCATTAATATTAATGTTAATGTTTTTCATTAATCATTAATATTAATGATTAATGTTTTCTTGAAAAAACTTAATTCATTAATATTAATGTTAATGTTTTCATTAATATTAATGACTTAATATTAATGAATTAAAGTTCTCATTAAACATTAATTCATTAGTATTAAGTCATTAATATTGGCAATTAATGTTTAATGGGAACATTAATTCATTAATATTGGCGATTAATGTTTAATGAGAACATTAATTCATTAACATTAAGTCATTAATATTAATGAATTAATGTTTAATGAGAACATTAATTCATTAATATTAAGTCATTAATATTAATGAAAACATTAACATTAATATTAATGAATTAAGTTTTTTCAAGAAAACATTAATCATTAATATTAATGA